TTGACTTTATTGACACGTGTATTCTTTCTCTTTAGTGGTTAGTATCTCTGCTTCTGCAAATCCAGCTGGCCCTCAAACCAAGAGGCAGATGGCATCTTTGGGAAAGGAACCTGGTATTGTGATTTTCACATGAAGTGAACAATCTTGTATTCTTTTGCCATAGACTACCACATGAATAAATGTGGCTACTGCTATCTTAGGCAATTTGTGCAGCTGTAGCACCACTGAAGAAATATTTCCAAGATTAAAAGTTGAAATGTCAGCAAAAATACTCTAAAAAATTCAAAAATTTTTCAAAAATTCAAAAGATACTCTGAGGTCACCATAAGATAAAAGCAACAAAGCTGCTAGATCCTTATCGAAGTTTGTGACCTGATTACTTAACTAATCCTGACTATTTAGACCTACCTCAGCTAGAGGCAGCACACCCACATTTGTTATCTGATAATAGCCAAGGATGCAATTAGGACCAGGTAATCTTTTGTCGAGTTGCTTTGTGGCTGCCCTATGGATGTAATTTCACAAATGTCTGAGTTTGCCTTTAGGGACAAGTGAGGCTATCAGTTAAATCAATATCAGATATTAGGTGCCAACTTTTGCACAGAATTGTATCTTAGGAGTGATAAGAAATTAAAAGACTATAAGGGCAAAGGGAAATTCTTCAACTAAGTATGTGATTAATTGACAAATATTTCTGGAGCATCTACTGTACCTACTGTATCCCTATTAAAAGACATGCGAGTCTGGAACACTTCCAACTATGGCTGATGACTGAGTTGAAAGACTAGGAAGACATGTACATGTAACCAATATGGATAAACAAAAGTTCAAGATGGTCCATAATCAGTTTCAAGTGATTCACATGAACATAGTGACCTAAGGATTTCAGAGATATAAGAGGACGCTTTTGATTAGGGTGATCCAGAAGGCTTCTTGGAGAAGACTGGGCTTGTGCTAGGCACTGTCAGTTGGATAAGATTTTGGCTGGTGAAAGTAAAATGAATGAGAAATGAAAAGGCATGAGAAATGTCCTGAGGTAGGTGAGCACAGTAGCTCTGGGGAAAGGTAGCTGACTGGCTTAGCTGAAACCAAACGCTTGTTTTGGGGAGTAGCAGATAAAGAAAGGAAAGGTGAAAAGAGGGAACTATGGCATCTCAAAGTTTGAAAGGATCCATAGGGATTATCAAATCCAAGCTCTACTCCTCTTATTCTAACCTATTTATGTCCACACATACACAGCTTTCCTTATTCTGCTACCAGTATTTAATATACACTTTAGTAATGGGGCTAAATTCCTAATATCAGCAGGCATAGTAACTATAATATAGTACTTAGGAATAAGGTTTGAAGTTGGAACCCTGGCTAGATCACTTGCTAAATAGTTAATGTTAGATAAGATTATTTAAATGTTATTTCTCCATCTGTAAATATAGTCATTAGTATCGTGAAGGGAAGAAGAAAAGGAGAAAGAATTTTTAAAGAAGACAAAATGAAAAACCTGCAAAACATATTGCCACAGAGATGAAAGTAAAGAATTCAAGGGAAAGGTTGTTAAATAGCAGAAATAAAACAAAGAGGTCAAGGTGGTTGAGAAGTGCCAAAGGCCACTGAATTTGACAGTATGGAGGTTCTTAGTCCATTTTCTGTTGCAATTGAAAAATACCTGAGATTTATTTATATCTTTCTGAAGAAAAAGAGGTTTATTTGAGCCAAAATTTTAGTGGCCAGAAAACAGCATGGTTCCTCCATCAGGCTGCACTGCAACATGGCAGAGGAATGGAAAGCAAAGCTGCCATCTGAAAAGAGACATATATACAAACAAGGAAGCAAAAAAATGGGGAAGGGTCAGGATCTCTCTTTTGTAACAACCTGCTCTCCAGAACTAATCCAGTTCTGACAGATCCAAGGCACTCAGAGAGACGGGTATTAATCCATTCATGAGGGTGGAGATCCCATGATCTAATTACCTTCTATCAGTCCCCATTTCTTAAAGGTTCCATTGCCTCAATTCTGCCAACACTGGGGAGTAAGTTTCTAGAATGTGAACCTTTGGGGGACAAACCATATTCAAACCATAGCAGAGGTCATTGGTGACCCTTAAGAAAGAAACTTTAAGCCTATAATCTCAGCACTGTGAGGACCTAAGGCAGGAAGATCACAAGTTTGAGCCCGATCTTGACAATTTAGTGACTTGACAAAATCTTATTTCAAAATAAACAAAAAGGGTTGGGGATGTATTTCAGTGCAAAAGGTCATTGGTTCAGTTCCCAGTACTGAAAATCAAAAGAAAAGAAAACAAAAACAAAGCAACTTTAGTACAAAAGGAGGAGGGAGTTTGTAGCAAAGGGGCAGTGTTGGAGGGATGGCAAGAGAAGGAAATAAGAACATACGAGGAACTAGAGCTGCAGTTAATTTTCAGTTTCAATTTATTTTCAGTGAAAGAGAAGGATACAGATGGCTTTGACTCCCTAGGGTTACAGGTTCAAGAGATTCAATGGCTGAATAGTATCTCAGCTTAGGAAAAGGCTGTTAGCTCCTATAACAACTTCCAGCCCTAGCTTTCTCTTTGCATGATGCAGGATATGGTGACAAAGGAAGAGAGCAGTTCCTGCTCACAAAACACCTTGCCTCTTCCTTTTGTCTAGCACTGCAGACGAAGAAAATAATATTATGAAGCAATCTGCCCACTTATAATATCACAAGAATGCCAGCAGAACAATGACAAGAGACTCACTGTATAGCAAAGCCTCATTAATTTGGACTACACTAATTTGGAATTTGTGGTAATTTCACTTGGGCTGGAGTTACCTTTGTACTGCTTACAAAGGAAGGGTTCACTAAGCAAATAATGTGAATGAGATTTCAAGGGAGTTAATTTAGCCTGCCAGAGTCTTCTTTCACCTGTTTTAAAGAACATAAAGTTTTTTAAAAACTTCAGCATATTCATTATTTGAATGCAAATTGATTCTGTTAATTATAGATTAGTGTAATCTACTGTTAAAATCCTGTATTTGCAACAGTTAACTCTGCTATCACTGAATATGCTCATTAGAAATAAAATGTCAATTCCTTAAAGTTAGTTCATAATTCAGATAATGCATACCCCTTTCCCCCATTCTCATGAGTTAACTATATTTCAGGAAGTATTACCCTAAACTAGTACATTATTTATGAATACAGACAAAAACTAATAAGTGACCAAAAAGGCTTTTTAGAGCAGCCAAAATAGATGTTTCAAAGTTAAAGTGATAATTCCCACGTACCCTATCCATGACAGATTCCACAAACAGCTAGTTAATCTCTCAACATAGTACTAATCTGACACATCAACTGAAGGATCTGGAGAGGTTGATTTATTAATAATAAAGTTCAAAATTAATTAAAGTATACTGAGAAGAGTAAGAAGTGACTGCATACAGGAAACAGGACTTGGATAAAATGCAACTGTAATAACTACAAAACTACCACAGTCTAGGATAATTTAGTGTAGAGGTAAAAGGCTTACATTCCTTAGTAAACCATGAAAGCTGTAATAGGTATTAGAATGCAGTACAATAACTAATGACTGGAATTATGCCCCTAAAGATCAAACAGTTAAATTATATTGAATATATGCCTTATAAAAGCAGGTAAGTTTACACACACACACACACACACACATACACACACGTACCCATAATAGTTAAACTAAAAATGTGAAATATGTCGATGCTTAGAAAGACAAGGTTTATAACATTAGCATACAACAATTATAATAAAATAATAGCAACATTTACTATTTACTATGTGTTAACTAGGTATAGATACTACGCTAAACACTTTGCCCACATCATTTTAACTAATTCTCTGAACAATCTTGAGAGATAGGTTTTATTATCACTTCTATTTTACAGTCAAGGAAAGAGAAGCTCAGAGAAGTTAAGTAACTAATTCCAGGCCACAGAGAGCGAGAGTCAGTGTTAGAACTCAGGGCAGTTCCCTGGCTATCTACCATGCCTCTTTTGTACTCCAGAAAATATAGCTCCTTTCTTGAGGGCTCTACATAGCTAATATTTTACTGTATTTTTATTTTCCAGACTCCTAATTAACAAACATCTTGATTCATCATCAGAAAGACAGAGCTCTGATCTAAGAGAAAGATATGTTTATAAACTCTCTCCATTTTACAAGTTGAAAGTAAAATTATAGTAAAAACAAAAGTGAACTATCTATTGGGCCCATCTGAAAATCTCACTTCAGTCTCTCTATACAAGAGATTCTATTTCCAAATGAGTAACCAAGAAACTAAAAGATGGCATTGTAAAATATCAAAAGATCAGTTCTCTTACTGTTTTCGTGTTCCTTCTGGAGAAGTTTAAGATGCGAATAGGTCAATGGGACATATGGGCTGGGGGGAGGATTGCAAAGGATGGTAAAAATTCAGTGGGTTATTATAGAAGATTTAGGAGAATCTGTTTGCCAGCTGTGCTAAGAGAATTATAGCAGCATAAAATACGTGTAGGTATGGCATGCATTTGGAGGGGCAGAGGTGGAGGCACAAATATATCTGTGTTAGAAGTAAATTGAGGATAGCCTGCCATATGTACATACAAAGAAAAATGTACAGCAGAACAGTCACTTGTGCAATTCCTTCTACTTAAATTGATGTTCCTTGTTTACCTTTTGTCTCAAGTCTACCTATTCTTCAAGGATCATTTTTAAATGCCACTCCTGCCATGAAGCATTTCACAATGCCTAAACCCAAAGAAAATTCTCCTTATTTCGCTCCTACAGGTTTTCTTGCCCCTTTTACATATTCACCACAGCACTGACGATATTCTATCTTATTATTGGAGTGTTCCTATATGTGCTTCACTCTTCTCATTCTATCATGAAGACAGGGAACTTTCACTTCTTTTAGTTCCTACAAGTCATTACCTAGTATGTACCATATAGTAGGCTCTGGGAAAATGTTGCCTCAATAGCACTGATTTAAGACAGCTTGTTATCACCTAGCTTACCTGAAGGAGCATTTGTTCTCTTTCTTTTCTTGCTTGAGTCCCCTCCATTCTCAGTGAGACCTTCTGTGACCAGAGGACCACTGGCACTACCAAATTGCAGGGGCTCGTTGTTGTTGGCGGGGTCAAAGGGCAGCTGGTTCAATCCTAAAGAAGAAAAAGAAAGCCAAAGTCCAGACTCTATTAAGGACTAGGACCATCTCCAGATTTCTTACATGAGCCACTAGTGGAAAACCATTTAGGTCTTCGGAGCCTACGTATAACAGGTGAATTCCTTGAAGGCAGTTGCCCTCTGGAATTTTTACAGATTTTGTTTACAAGAATAGAATTAAAACATAAGAGGGTGGTTCTGTCATTTGTTAGATCCTTCCTCTTACTGTGGGAAATTAACATTTTTGGCCAAAAGCTAGCAGTTGTTTTCTACTTCTTTCTTTAAAAAGAAAGGACCAGCTGGGCATGGTAGCATATGTCTGTAGTTCCAGCTAATTGGGAGGCTGATGCAGGAGTGGTGTTTGAGTCTAGGAGTCAAAGGCTAGCCCAAGCAACAGAGCCAGTTTCTTTTAGAAAGAAAAGAAAAGAAGACCTTCTTTAAGGTGCCAGTGGGACTACACATTCTTCCTTTGAAAAAGCTTGGCTTTATATTCCTTGGATTATCTCCTCACATTTTTCCATTACTTTATTACAAGGTCTGTTGAACTGATGCAGAAACAATTGCTAGACTATCTTGGTATCAAAGTCATATCCTACGAAAGAAAGCAGAGTCTTCTTAAAAAAAAAGGAGAAACCATAACTTGATGGCAAATGAGAAAATAAAACAAAGATACAGACAAGTTGGTTAGCTAGACACTGGAGTGATGGGGAGTTATGACCCAGGTTTGAGTGGTATTAATCTGACCTCTTTAAATGCTGTTGATTTCATGGCCACTTAACTATGCAGTGTGACACCATATAAAATGGCAAAAGGCACTTTCCAAATTTTATATAGTTCAGTCAAGGGAGAGTAGAGATACTTTCTTCTGGCAGCAGCACCTGGAATTTCAAGGGTTCCAATTAAGAGTTTGTGAAATGTGGAATCAAAAGCTTTTTTAAAGCCCTAAGTAAAGCCATCTCTTGTAAGCCTTTTATCCACTAGTTCTATCATCCTATCAAAAGGGAAATCCTGATATGGTTCATTCTTTAACCCCCATTTTTCTGTAGCCATTAGCTGTACAATTCTTAAGGTAATGTATCAAAATATCAATAAAAAGCTTCAAATCCAGTTTGTAAAAGGTCAACCAAATTTCAGTAAAATGAATGCTAAGGTTCTAACAAAATGACTTCACATTATTGTTCTTCAATAAAGGGTATTCACTAGCTAATGTGTGCAGCCCACATAAAAAGTACAATTTCTTCAGCAATCACACTCCACTTTGAACACATCCATTAAGTATCCTTGGGGACTTGTCAAACATCCATTCTTTCTATTATGTGATTAAAGAAAAGAATAAAACTTGATTCTGTATCTTAAGTCAACTGTTCACTGTATCATAACTGTCCTGTTAAATCTCTAATATGACTAGAACTAAAGAAACAAATATCAATAGCTGAGTATTAGAAAATATTGATGTCATAACAAACTATTTTCAAAGAATACTAGATTTTTATATTATTTACCAAAAAAAAATAAGTGTTTGTTGCGCTTGAGTAATCCCAGAGCCAGATACGATTAGTGTAGTGTTCCAAAATTTCCCTTGGTATTTCTTTCTGCAATATCCTATCAATCAAAAGTTCTATGAAGATAGAGTAGTATAGTGGAAAGAGTCTGACAGTTTCAAAACCCCAGTATTCTTCACTAGCTAGATAGTTTTTGTCAAGTCAAATAATCTTAGTCTTAGTTTCATAATGCGTAACTAGGAGTGATAAAACTGCACATAGGGTTAGTGCAAAGATTAACAAATACATGCTTATGATAATACAATATTTTAGTGAATTAAAACAAACTTTTCTCTGTAAGCTTATACATTTTTCTAAGGAGGATATCTCTTCCTCCCTTTACTCCCCCACAACTATATGCCTGGTGCACCATGCACATAGTAAATGCTGAATCAATGAATTAATCCTCAATAAATGGGGGTAGATGACTCATTACATTAACCTATGTAATTTGAATAAAGACTTGGCAGTTGATAATCAAGAATTAATGCCATCACTGAAAAGTTCTGATGCTGATTATAGCAATAATACTTAAAATAATTAGATTTTAAATGTACCTCCAGCATTTGAGTACTATACTGTAGAATGGGTAAGGTCCTGATTATAAGGAATGCTCAGGGATTAGGAGGTTCTGATTAATGATTGCTAATCATAAAAGTATTTCCTATTTTGTCTTGCATGTGATAATTTTATAGAATAATATATCAGTCCATTTTCCTGCCTTATTAAGTAGTTGGCTGAGGATCTTACAGTGATTCAGAGGCATGGCCAATAAAAGGAGGCTAATAACAGTATCTACATTATGGGACTGCTAAAATATTAAATAAGATCATATATGTAGAAAATTCTGCTACATATCTAATACATAGTAGATATTCAATTAATTTGTACAGAGAGAGAATGAGAGAGAGGGAGAGAGAGAGAGAGAGACTGTGCTGTCTGATGTACTGTCTGAGGCGTGACCCTACTCTCTTACTTCCTGCTTCTAGCCAGACTACCACCACTTCCATTTCCTCTCAGTTGGGCTGGGTGAGCTATCTAAAGCATAACCTGAGTCTCAGACCTGAATGGACATGGCAGGCTCAATAAATATTAACTACTACTGTTGTAAGATTGAATTTCCATTTTTTTCAGCTTTAATTGAGTTTATTGGTACATTTTAGGGATACAGTACAGTTACATTCATTGTTGGGATCTTGTACCTCTACATGACAAGTCTTGATTCTCATTTTTTTCCCTTACCTCTACCCTCCCTTCACCCCCTCCTCCCCTCCCCATCTACAAACACTTTATTTTCATCTTTTCATTCTCTCACATTTTTTTCTTTTCCCTTTTTACTCTTCCCCTACCCATCCCACCTTCCCTACACCTTTAGCTCCTTTCTTCCCATTTCTAAATGTCAGTAATGTTATTAGAATCTTATGCATTGTTGCAGATTATTCTCACCAGGGAAACTATTCGGTATTTACACATGTGTGACTTATTTATTTCACTTAGGAGTATATCTTCAATATGTATCCATTTTCCTATGAATGAATCTATTTTCTCGTTCTTTATGGCTGAGTAATATTCCATTTTATAGAAAAACCACAACTTCTTTATCCAGTTTCCAACGGATGGGCAAATGGGCTGTTTCCAAGATTTAGCTATTACAAACTGTGCCGCTAAGCGACAATCTACAATGTGGGAAAAAATTTTTACCAGCTGTTCCTCAGACAAAGGACTATTATCAAGGATATATAAAGGACTCAAAACAATCAGTCCCCCCAAATATAAAGACCCGAATCAAAAATGGGCATCCGAAATGAACAGACATTTCTCAGACAAAGAAGTAAAAGCAGCAAGAAAATATTTGAAAAAATGCTCCACATCACTGATCATTCGAGAGATGCAGATGAAAACAACACTGAGATTCCACCTCACCCCACAAAGAATGGCTGCTATCAAGAAATCAACCAATAACAAATGTTGGCGGGGTTGTGGGGAGAAAGGAACCCTTCTCCATTGTTGGTGGGAGTGCAGACTGGTGCAACCACTATGGAAATCAATATGGAGATACCTCAAAGAGCTTGGACTGGAGGTTCCATTTGACCCAGCCATCCCTCTGCTGGGTATCTTTCCAAGAGAACTAAAAGAATCATATCACAAAGAAATATGTGCACCCATGTTTATAGCGGCACAGCTTGTAATAGCTAAATCTTGAATTTCCATTTTTAATTTCTTAAATTATTGATGTATAACAAGACATTACTACCTAGACAGTTTTACTAGCTAGAATTTGCTCTGATGCAAGGATATATCCTACTTTCCTTATTGAATCTTTTCATTGCTGTAACTTTTTGTAAAAGTTGAAGGAATTCAGGAGAATAGATCTGTTAAAGGTATGCAGTTATTGGATGTTTGACTATAATTTTGTTGGCCCTTTACTTGGTCCCATATGATAATGTAGGGGACTTAGGTATTTTATTCCTCATAATAATGCACAGATCTTTCTGACACTGAATAAAACTGAAAAATTTCAAGTACTTTCTGTGTATTCACCTCCAAGATCCAGGTATGTAAAAATCTTGGTAATTTAGTGCAATATCTCACCCTTGTTTTTTGTGAGGAAAGATTTCATATCAAAGAGGGAAAGACATATCACTCAGCTGATTAATTTAAACACAAATCCACATTTTACATTATCCAGGACTGAAGAGTCTGCAAATATTTATAGCTCAAGAGCAAGGGCTACAGATATAGCAAAATCCTACATCATCCCAAGACAGCACCAAATAAACCAACAACAGTAAACAGACTCATATTGGATCTTTTCTGTGCTATGTATATGTGGTCCACGACAAATATTATTTTAATTAAAATAGCTCCATTAGCATTATTTAAACCCTACAAATAAAACTACTACTTTAATTCCAAGAATTCTTGTTGGTAAAATTACAATGATAAACATAAAATATTAGCAATCACCAAATTATAATTCTTAACCAAACTACACAATTTATCTTGAAGTTGCTGATGGAAGAAATCAGTTTCTACTAGACACGATGAATGAGAAAATACTAGATTTGAAAGAATTTTTTGAGGGTATTTATTATCTAGTTCATTTTTCTGAGTAATTCAGGAATTTTTATAGAATTCTTAATAGGCTTCAATCCCAGGGCACTTCTTTGCCTAGGGCCCATTTCTTGCCACGCTCTGGGTACTAAGTTGGCTCTCATCACCTTTTAAAAACTACTATTTTGGGGTGTTTATTTTTATTTTTCCCATACTGCCAGTGGTGTAGAATGCATTTTATTGAATTATCTCGCTTACTGTCCCCAGAATAAATACATGAGATGTCTAACTTATAATAGATTATACTGATAGTCATTGCAAGAAAAACAAATGAGGAGTAAAAGATAGTAATAGAATAAAGTCAGAATTTTTCTAAAATCTCATACATTTCCTGGAGCCCC